CATGGTCTGCCCTGAGGGGACTCTTACTTTTGAACATGTGGACATGGGTTGGACTTTTGGTTTATTTCCTGTTTTATTTTGAAATCACTTCCCTTGTGTGTCTAGTGGTTGTTATACTTTCTGTCTTCATCCCGAGACTAGTACACATTTATTTTGGGATTGCATGTTTTCCAGAAATCTTTGGATGGAACTGACTGATTTTATCACGTCCATAGTTTGTAATAAGTTTTCTCTTAAATGGGAATATGTATTGTTTGGATTCCATGACAAGTACTGAAGGTGACAGTAAGTTTTAATAATTTAATAATTTTTTTTTTTAATGCAAACTTGCACATTCATAAGAGTAAGCTTTCAAATAATAAGCCATTATTTCCTGTTTTGATCATACAAATTGTAAAATATACATCCGCCATTTCTAGAAGTGCAACAGGCTCAGAGGAAAGTTTCAACATCTTGTAGAATCCACGCCACAAAGAGCTGAAGCTGTTATGAGAGCAAAGGGAGGAAGTACCCAGTGTTAGTATGGTGTTCCTAAGTTTCCTTTTTCTCCTCCAGTGAAATATATGTAATGTGTGGGCATGGAGGCTGTCAAGTTGTTTAAACGTATGTAATGAAAAATGGAATAAGTTACTTTGAACTCATTTTACTTTGTAAAAATATAACTCAACTCACTAATCAAGTAGGCTCTATATATGTAGGGTAACTGAACATTTTTTGACATCATATAAACGTGAACCACGTAAACCATGTTATAGCTGTTCTAATGTTTTTATTATGATGATTTTCCAATTCAAATTTCATCCTTTAACTTCTCTTATTTGTTCATGTCACTAATCCACGTCAGTTGCATGTACAGTGCACTCAGAAAGTCTTCAAACCCCTTCACCTTTTTCACGTTCTTATGTTGCAGCCTTCTTCTAACATCATTTAAATTCATTATTTCCCTCATCAATTTACACACAATGCCCCATAATGACAACGTGAAAACAGAAGTTTTAAGATATTTTTAAAAAGGAAAAACTGAAATATCAAGTATTCAGACACTTTGCTATGACATTTGAAGTTTAGTTGAGGTTCCTCCATTTCTCTGGATCATCTCTGAGATGTTTCTACACCTTGACTGAAGTCCACCTGTGGCAAACTGATTCAACTTGATTTGGAAAGACAAAGTCTCACAGCTGACAATGCAGATCAGAGCAAAAAGGAGGACGGAGCTGCCTTCAGAGCTCAGTAAACAGTTTTAGGATAAATTCTATTATTGTTATATGATATTATATGATGACTTTTACAATAAAATAAACCAGTATGTATTGTTGTGTATTGTCTAGGATGTGAGCTCAACAATCTCCATTCAAATATGGAGATTGTTAATAGTTTTGGCTCTGACCACTAGAGGGCCTCATTGTACCAAACAGTGTCATCTTTTCATTGTGGTGCCAAGGTTCAGGAACATGCTTTTTACATGGAGTGAGGACTCCTCTTGTGGTTTTGAAGTGACCCCGACAGCTTTGTGCAGATCAGGTGATTTATCATTATAGTGATCAGTGCTCATGAACTTTGTGTGACAGTCTTTTAATCTGCTTGCACTGCTGATAAATGATACACTCGGCTATTACTTGGCTTTACTATTAAAATCAGACATGTATTTTATATATATATATATATGTTGATATACATCAACAATAAATTTACAAAAAATATTTATAATACATACATTGCATTTTGCAGGATTGACATAGGCTACCAAATTTAAACAATTACAGAAAATTGTGAACATTTTTACAAATATTTAAAAATAATAAAAATGATAATAATAATAATAATAACAACAATCATCTTTATTTATAGAGCTTTTTTCAAAATCCAAGTTACAAAGTGCTTCACATGGCAGCAAACTAAAACAGTCATAAAATAATCCGATTTAAAAGAGACTAGATAGAAACAATTTGACGTATAAAATCAAGAAAGATCTCATGCAGATTGTCCCAGAGCCTCGGGGCCCTGATTGCAAATGCTCTGTGCCCTGTAGTTTCCAGCTTGGTCTCTGGAACAGATAAAAGACCTCTGCCTGAGAAACCCAAAGTAGATACCAGCATGTAGGGTACTAACAGGTGAGAGATGTAGGATGCAGAGAGACCATCAAGAGTCTTCAAAGTAATCAGTAAGATCTTAAAATCAATTCTATAACATACAGGGAGCCAGTGTGTTTAAAAGTCTCACAGCTGAGTTCTGTACAGTCCATAGTTGATCAATAGATTTTTGGTTCAGACAAGTAAAATGGCTCATGCAATAGATGAGATGAGATGAACGTGTGCTGGGTGGTCTGTGTCTTTAAAAGTTTAAATACCATGTATTTGTAAAGTAAGATGATAAAAACATGATTACACAGACTTTGTGGTGTGCCGCTCAAAGATGAAATTACTGTCGAACCACTTCATTCACTCACACTTGAATGAAACACTTTTGGACACTATTCGGCTAATATTTTTCAGTGCAATCCATGATGGTATGTATTGCTTGTTTAGTGATAATTTTGTACACTACTTTTTATGATGCATTGTGGAATACTATGGGTCCACTATATAGAGTATAATAATTCTCACTATGCATTCACTACAACATGGCAAACTCACTACATAGTGGACTATATAGTGAGTAGTGAGTGATTTCTGACATAACCCAAGATATTCCATGTGACAGTGATGTGTTCCTCTATAGAACCAGCAGATGGCAGAATTTCCCATGTGCTGGGATCCAAAGATAATAATTTTTGTTTTGTTTAAATTTAGCAGAAGAAAATTTGTACAACATCATAAAGGCAGGGATTAAGTGAACTCAGCTTTCCAGCAAAGCAGTGGAAAGAGACACTCCGTCTCTGAATAATGTGTTCAATGGAAAGCATGTAAAACTGGTCCCAGAACTGACCCCTGAGGGACTCCATACTTAACACAAGAAAATGAAGAGACATAGTTGAAACAATGGTACACAGGTGCCCCATGGAGATACGCTCAACATATTAGAGTATGTATTCAACAGCACCACCTTTGGTTAGTTCTTAAGCATTTTACTCATGAACTGTTACAGGAAATATTTTCGTACAGTGGGTTCCCTGGATGAATTCTACGGTGGCACTGAGAGATCAACACACTGCAACTTAAACAACATGCAAACAGTCAAAACACAAACAAATTCAGAGAACAGCTTTATTAATTTGACAACAGATGTGCTGCAAATACAACACAACCAAATACACAAACATGCTGCAAGTAGCCGGAAGTGTTTTCAGGGGTCACTAAAAGTGATGAACCCAGATGGGGTGCACATGTTGTTCAATGCTTTGTGACTTTTGAAGTTAAAAGCATTGAATTAAATGTATTATTATACATCCATGCAAGTGCGCCCCAGCTGAGTGCATAACCTTTGTTTCCACACACTTCCGGGGTCATCTGCGCTACTTGCAGCATGTTTATGTATTTGGTTGTATTGTGAGTATTTGCAGCACATCTGTTGTCAAATTGATGAAGATGTTTTCTGAATTTGTTTGAGTTTTGTCTATTTGCATGTGTTTTTAAGTTGCTGTGCATTGAGCCCTCAGGGCTACCGTACGATTCGATTGATATGGGCAACGCATTTTTTAATAACATAATATGATATTTCTACAATTCTGTTGTATTTATAAAATGGAATATCAGAAAATTGTAACTATGTCCCTTGTGCTTACTGTGAAAATGCAATATATGTTTTGACAATCTACACACATTTGATTAATGTGAAGTAACAGCAGCAGATGTAGCAATCACACAGATTTTCTTCAGAAAATGCACCTATTCTAGTTTGACTTCAAAAACCATTATTGCACATTTACCACAGATATTATCAATCAACCGATATGACTGGTTAAAGGTATGTAATAACAAAATACAGTATATACCTGAACCTTATTATTAATTGCCAATCTAGAGTCAAGAGAGATCACCTCCAACCTTTGTGATTTGCTTTACAAATGTTCCCTCTATCATTTTGACATCTACAGGCTGATTTTTGTTCGTGATTGTGTGTCTTTTTTTTCCAAAACATATTTTTGGATCCTGACTCTGAGTTCAAGAAACTGTACATGACTGTACAGTTGCAGTCTCACAGGAGCTCCAGAGGCCTGGTCACAGTGGCCTTGACAGCTGGGGCAAAGTGCAGCAAAAATGATCCAGTGCTTCTTATGCTGTGACAGGGCAGGTTGCTCTACTAGTTAAATGGGCCATCCACTCGATGAAAGGTCACAGGCTTGATCCCAGTGCAGGTAGACAATATAGTGGTTGAAGATTTACAGGAAAGGTTGACACTGCTGTTGCCCCATTATGAAGCAGAAACCACCACAGATGCCTCAAGAGGCAGTTCCTATAATGACCACTAGATGTCCCTAAGAGCGCAGGAGTCATGTCCAGGCTAGCTTGTGTTCCACTTGCTTCTGTAACTCAATGCAATCTTTCATTAAACATTTCCTTCATAGGTCTTTCTGAAAAAAAATGAGAAAAACATGTTCCTGAGGTTCACTTTCTATACTCTAAGATAAATCAGCTCCACTACAGCAGCTGCTATTAAAAATTCAAACCTTCAATAAAATTCAAACCAGGTCAAAACTGGACTTCCTCTCTTATGTCAGGCCATGATGTGACATGGGATTTTAAGAGTTTCTTCTTCCAGGACAAATCCTGGAAGTCTTCAGTTTCACTTTGGATATGTAGAGATATAAACCAGACACATTTCCACACTTATCCTAACTTTCTTTGGAACAATTTTGAAAATATTTCTCTTTCTAAAAAGATATTAACGCTCAGGATTTTCCCAGATTTGGATTTTATGGCTCTATAAAAACTGACAGAGCCTTAAATGCACAAAAATTGAAATGGTTCTTTAAATGCATCTGTGATTGTGTCTTTATGTTTCTATGTCTTCGTGTGAGTTTATTCATATTTATTTTCTGAGTATTTGTGTGTCCTGTCACTTCAGCCCTCTGGACCTCCTGGAAACATCTCTGGGCTCTCTGAGAGCGTGGCTCGCATTTTCTTCTTTTCCTTAAACCTTCCAGAGTGGGACACCTTGACATGGCGCCCCTTGCTGGCCGTTGTTTTATCCACGATCCTCTCCAACCGAGCGTCCAGCTGGGAGTCGTGCATGGTTACCTCTGCATGGGCGACGGCTCCGGTTGCAGCCCCCGACCCATGCTGGCCACTAGTGGCATTGGAAACAACATCTGCAGGGATTTCATACAGAACCTTGGGTTGGGATTTTTTTCTCCTCAGGAACGTGAACTTCCACCAGCCTGAAGATGGCTCTGTCATGACTGATGAAGAGTGGGATAGATTTATCCTGAGAAGAGGATAAAAAAGGGTAAAAAGAAGGTTAGAATAAAAAAACTGAGGATTTAATTAAATTGCAGCGATAAAACAAGAATAATCTTTAACACTCAGACACTGCATCCACCTATGTTCACCTGACTGTCTTTAAAGCTCCATATTTTCCTTTTCTCTGTGTTTTATTTGAAGTGTTGATCCATAAAAAGATATATTTCTTGTTTTAAGAACCAAAAACCATCTCAATGTAGTTTTACCAGTTGGCCCTAATTAGCATAGGTAAATGCCCAAAAATGCCCTTAAAAGGGCATAACACTGAAGGGTCGTGTGCAGACACAGACAGAAATCATGAAGAGATACCGTAAGGGAAAGCTGAGAAAATGACAAAACGAAAATCTAAAGACGGAGCACCAGAATCAAAACGCAAATGGAACTTCAGTAGCTCTGAAGTGGAGGTACTGCTGCAGGAAGTAAGCTGCAAACGAGTGGTTAAGTGTTAATGTAGCGTTCATATTTTTTAAAAGACCTTTGTAAAATAACAAAAGTTTTTTTTTTAAATATTATAAATTACAAAAATATTATTGTAATTTAAATAATATAATATTATATAACTGTAGAACAGAACATGTCAGCATAAGAGTACTCTTGAGTGTGCGTAGATTCTGTTCTTACCTAAAAACAAATCCCAATTAAGAAAACATTGGTGAATGTCAGAATCTTCATAAAAAGTGTGTAAGTGGGTTTTAAGAAGAAATTTCTTTTTAAGAATGGTTGGTGAATGAGGCCGAATGATTTCAATGTGGACAGTCTCAGGGTTTGGCATTTGGCCATTTTGGACCATGCTGAGCTATTGATTTTACTGGTGCCCCTGGTAACACATTGTAAACATTATATTTTTTGATACTCGGACAGAGCCAGGTGAGCTGTTTTCCCCTGCATTCAGTGTTAATACAAAGCTGAGTAATTTCAGGTTTATATTTTGATCACATGAGAGTGATATTGATCTTCTCACCTAACACGTTATACATACATACGTGTAGCTAAAAGTCCCAGTGCTGTTGTGCTCTATATCAGCACTTATGGAATGTCTCTCGTCCAATCAAATTACTTGGTTGGAACTAACTGTTGTGGAAAAAATGTTGTCACTTAATTTTGTCCTGTACATTTGAGTTAAATTGTTTCATAATTAGTGAATTAATTTGTGAGTTATGACCAAAAATGTGTTATGTGAGGTCACAGTGACCTTTGACCTTTGACCACCAAAATCTAATCAGTTCATCTTTGAGTTCAAAATGAATGTTTTTGCCAAATTTGAAGAAATTTTCTTAAGGTGTTAATGCGATATCGTGTTCATGAGAATGGGATGGACAGAAAACCTGAAAACAATAAGTATATAAAAACAACCACAGACCAACACTACCAGCTTATGCGTATAGAGGTGTCCACCTTAGTATAAAGTCCATAACATGGATGTATGTTCACTACTAGACTATAAACAGTATAAGTAACTGAAAATCAGTAAATTAAGGATCAAAAGAGCCTTAAATGTAAATATACAGAGATATAAGAAATAATAATAAATAACAATGGAAAATATGAAAAAGGAGCAATGATCCATCAACACTAACACCACTTACAGACAGCTGACCTGCATATGACACAGGTAAACTCACTGTGTGTTTGACCTGTGATGGATTCAGTCATGTGACAGCTGTCACGCTGCCCCTCAGTGTCACAGAGACTCCAGTCTGCAGTTTAGTTTCAAGCACACAGCTGATAAAACTGAGAATTACTTTCATAATTCATCAAAAAAATGTATCTGCCCTCATGTGGGACATATCTCTTTCTCTCTCTCTCTCTCTCTTTCTCTCTCTCTCTCTCTCTTTCTCTCTCTCTCTCTCTCTCTCTCTCTCTCTTTTTGTCTGTCAGTGGGTTGGTTAATGAAATTTAAATGTCACTATAATTCAATTTATTTCCATTCCTGTTTGCAACTGTTTGAGAGGAAGGTTGTGAAGGAGGGTCAGCTGACGTCGGTTGATCTGTACAGGTAGAACCCTGAGGCAGGTGTGACCAGTAGGACTGTGTTGGTCTGAAGCTGTACTGTTGTCCCTCACCTGTAACTCTCTTTGGATAAAAACGCCTGCCAGATGAATAAATGTAAATGTAAGATGTGGCTGCTTGTCGAGATCAACTAGCACGTTGGTTAATTGTTCCATTATTTGGGCTTTAATAAGATTACCTTCTGATAACTCTCCCAGCTGGCATGCAGACTGCCTGCAGACCAGATCCTGATTACCTTCTGGCCCTGGGGCAAGTTTTTACAGCAGCTGAGCAAACAGAAACTAAATCACATTATATTTTGGTTTCTTTTCTTCTCTCACTCTGTTTCATGAACACGTGATACGCTCAGCTAACTGATTGATGTAGAAGTCTCTTTGTCCCTTTTGATGTCGGTTCTATACAACTTTGAAGTGATAGAGTATTGACGTGTAGCTGCTCTGTGTTTGAATGCTTTGAGTGGTGCAGTAGGAGGGAGTGTGGGGGAGCAGCCATTATGTTGTTTACATTTTGTGCAGGAAAGAATCCGAACTGTGAAATGAAAAGAACATTTTGAAAGATTTCCAAGGTGGTCCCTATTTGGTTTTACATCAGCTCTGTGCACCTGCAGAGTCAGAATAAATGGTCAGTGGTGGCTGCATGCTTTCATGAGTAGTAACATCTTACTAAAGGAGACAGTCTGACCAGGATACATCATTTTCAGAAGTCACTTGAGGTAACTGTGCAGCAGGTCAACATCAGAGTTTCTACAGCTAGATTAAGTACAACTAGCAGTGTATTGCAATACATATTGTTCATCTATTATGATCATTACTGCTGTAGTTGCTATAGGCTACTCCGGAAATATAGAGGTAACCTGTTTTTATTATTAGCAATACTAGCAGCAGGGCTCTAGAGATGGGAATGATGGGCTGTTGGTTGGTCCAGCACTAGACTGCAACATCTCATCAACTATTGGATGGATCCCCATGAAATAATTTTTTTTAAACTTTATTTCCATTTTCAAACAGTAGCAGGCAATTAACATTACAGAACAGAGCCACCTTGAGACTGGGCTTCACCTTACATATATGCACCTACACAGATGATGGAAAAGCACCTTGCAGGAGTAGGACCATCACACAAATACCTCTATTCAGATATGCATACAAATACATACAGATCCATACACTTGCATACATATGCATACATACATGCATGCATACACACACATACATGCACACGTATACAGATACAAATACATAAACAAAGTGTGCCATCATATAGACATGTTTGACTATTTCTAGCCACTGAAGGATTGTGGGAAGGTTAGGCTTCATCCAATTAATAGTAATTATTTTTCTTGCAACCATTAGCAGAACATGCAGTCTGTAACACTGATCTGTACCAATGTCCCCATGAAATTTTAACATTCACATTCCTCAGAGGATGAACCACTGACTTCAATGGTTGACAATTAGGTTGACATTTTAGTTTTTTATGAAATATCTCAACAACTAATGGACAGATGGCCCTGAAATTTGGTACAACATACAGTATACAATAGCTGCTAAACATCAGACTCTTACTCTTATTATTATGTATAAAAACAGCAGCATCAGCTCTCTTAGACTAAAAATGGTGGCCATAAAATTCTTCTTTATTGCTGTATGTATTTCTCTGACAAATGCCAAGGGGATAGTTTGAAATTAAGTGAAACATAAAAAACTTACATATATTTATGTTAAGTTATCTAAGAAATATTTAATGGTTTAATCAATGAGACCGTGGAGTTGCTGCACAACGGTAGACTAGCGGAATGAAAGATGTAATATCACAGTGATAAAAAAACAGACCAGATCTCTCGCTATAAAAAATGAAGAAATCTAAACAGTTGGAAAAATAAGAAACGAGTAAGAGCAACTGCAACAGGCTACGCACAAAACAAATGAACAAAAAAACCCCAAAAATAATCAGCATCCTCAAAAGTGTAAAATATTAAACAAAAATAAAACTGCACAGAAAAAGTTGTAGGTTTTTCTGAAGCTGGTGGATAACTTTCTTTGAAAGCATGTGGTTTGTTTGCAATGAGGTTAACTCCCTAATATTTTGTCTCCCTAACTTTGTTTACAAAGGTCAACTTACTGAATAAAGGTGAGGAAAGACTGTAACAATGGAACTGAAATGCATTAAAAACATGGACCCTCTAAATGAAGAACCGGGCTTTCTGGAGTCCCTGGCTTCCTTTGGAAGCACAACCCTGAATTTGCCAAAGACGTAGCCTTCCACAGGTGGATGCTCTTCTTCAGCTGATATCCTGTTTCTTCTAAGTCTAACAACTCTACCACCTGTCCAGCCATACCGCATGCTTCTATCCTGTTCAGCTAGCAACAAACATGATAGCCACCAGTCTGCTTCTCATGTAGCTAGCATTAGCCATGCTAGCAACCAGCCTGCCTCCCAGTCAGCTAGTCTCCAGCCTTGAAATGCAACACAGAGGCTGTCTACAGGAAAGGACATAGCAACAACATGTTGCAGATCTTTTACCAGAATCTTTTACCAGACTTCTCTCGACCCCTTGGAGTTAGTTGTAGAGTTGTAGAGGGGAGGATGCTGCACAAACTGAACAGCATAGAGAACATCTTGATAGCCGTCTATGACCTGCAGGTCTAACAGCAGCGCACCTTTCTTTTCTGTAACAAGGAACACTGCAGGAAGTAATTCCTGACAATTGCTGTCACTGCACAGAACACTGATGGGTTGACCGACCAAGGAGCATTGAAGCTGTTCTGCCTCTCAGAGGACAGAACAGATTTAGGCCCTTTGTTGCTTGTATAAGACAGTGGCCAATGGCAAACTGTCAGACCCTACATTAACATTCCCCTTCATGTCAATCTCAAATGACTACAAGCATCAGATCACTAGGACAAGACCACATTGAGGTTGTTTGA